TTTAAAAAGTTTATTGACCTTAGTTTAACTTCTTATGTTCTTGCAAGAAGGTTAAATACTATGGGAGATAAATAATCGATCGTGTTGTCATTGTTGATAAAAAGCATTTCGATTTTCACTCGATTTTCGCACAGCCATCCAGTTTTCTAATCGATAACAATGGGTAAAAGCGGTTTATTGTCAGTTATAATTACACCGCACTAACAGTTGGGTTCACATTATCGTTATAGTCCCGGGGATAGCTTACTTTCAATGGGTGAAAATTGGATCGTAGTTTTTTTAATGGATGATATTGGAATGGCAACTTCGCCTGCGCTAATAGTATACGCTGGAAGGGTATTAGTGAAGGATGATAGGTGAGAATAAGAAAGCAGGTCAGTTAGCCCCTCGTGATGAATACATTTGGAAGGGGGGAAAGGGATTGTTAGTAATGGAGACTGAGAATCCCATTGCTAGCAATACACCCATCCAGGTCGACCTCCTTGCGGTTCTCCCTGGAAACTATCATGGTTAATTCCTGATGAATTCATCATGATGGGCTAACTGGCCTGTTTTCATTCTCATCTATCACCCTTCACTGGTACTCCGTCAGCGTATCCCGTTAGCGCAGGCGGGGTTATCATACCATTTTCACCCATAAAAAAAATACATTTGGAATTCAGTACGATGGTTTCCAAGGGGAACCGCGTGGAGGTCGATCTAACAGGGTATATTGCTATTAATGGGGCTGGTAGTCCGCTTACTAACAATCTCTTCCTCCTAGAATCGTAGTATGGCCCACTCTATTGATTTATTAGTGGCACAGTATCAGCAATATATAGGTAAAGGTCTTCCCTCCTTTCCTGTGGGTAACGTAAAAGGTGATTAAGGAAACTTAACGATGGAAGTATAGGCAAATTCCCCTTATGGGGAACGTTAAGTGTTATTTCCATGTGAACTCATCACGATATGGTCACTGACCCTTCATCATCATCACCATCATATCAGCCTTTAACTGTCCACTGCTGAACTCCATTAGGGGGTTTTACCAGTACGTGCCACGCTTGGCAGGCGAGTTGGCAACCGCAGTCAGGATGTGGTGATGTTTTAAGAGAGACGCTGCTGCCTATCTCACGACCATTTAGTTTTCTTATTTACTACTTACAACAACCACTGGAAAGGAAGAGTTGGTCTATTCTATGCCGGGACCACACGGTGTGTTGAATAGTGGCACTCGAAATAAGCTATGAGTTTTCTACCAACAGAATTATACATTAATGTAAAGTTTTTTTTTATATTTGCTTGAAAACCGATGCCTGTTTCAAGTAAAACAGCACAACTGAATTTATCAATGAATCAATTATTTAATTAAAAAAAAATATTACAATTTAAATAAAACAAGTCATATTGAACAATTTTTTTTTATACCACTGAGGTGGCAAACAAGCATACGGCCCACCTTATGGTAAGCGGTTACCGTAGCCTATGAACGCCTGCAATACCAGAGGTATTACGCGCGCGTTGCCGATCCTGAAGAAACCTCTTTACCCCCTTTTGAAGAACCCCATGCTGTAGTCTCTTGGGAAAACCTCGGCAGGGAGCTCATTCCATAACCTGAGTGTTCGTGGGAGGAAACATCTCTGAAACCGCGTTGTACGCGACCATTTAGGCTGTAAGGTTATTATTACTATATTTGACAGAATATCAATATTTTTCTTTTTTGAGAGCAAAGCAATAGACTGAGTTGTGACCATTTTGTATTACTGTGGCACACGCACGATATGATAAATTATGTTACCTCTTTTGTGTATTTTCCTTTTTTTTTGTATATGTATTTTTTATTTCTTTTTTTTTTTTGTGTATATACCTGTCTGCTGTTATTTGTGTGCTGTAAGTAATTCAAATGATTTATACATGTATGTCTCTCTCATATTTCTTTTCATTTAAGAGTTTCCTCTTGTCGGTGCAACTAATTCATGCATTCTTTTCCAGCCAGCTCTGTCTCAGGCCATATCTTTGATCTTCCTATACGATATGACAGTGTTTCCTTTATCTGTCCCATGTATAACTATATGGGATGGATAAAGGAATCCACAGTCTTCCCCTTTCTTTTTTGCCTTATATTTCTCCTTCTACATATATATAAAAATACATAGAAATGCTTATTTTTTACTACTAACTCCCATTATATCTCTACCCACCCTGGCTTCGCACTGATATAAATTAAGTATTATATAAATTGTAAAAATAAATATAAAAAGACAATGAAACTTGCATCAAAATTCGTTGTGTGATTTAAAAGAAGTATCTAGATTTTAATTTTATATTATTTAATGATTTTATTACATGGATTGGTTGCACCGACAAGAGGAAACTCTTAAATAAAAATGAAAATGAATGATTTTATTATATAAAGGGATACTATCCCCGAGTCTACGAAGACAATAACATGGAGAAATATTACGTTATTGTTGGTGTAGCGCGCAAGGGAAGCCAGGAAGCGGCGGTGGTGCGTTGATTAATGCGTTACCGAAGAAAGTTATGTCATGTTAACATAATAATTAAATCAATTAATTGCGCTACAACGTATGTACGGGTGTTTATACGTAATTTATATAAAAAAAAAAAAAAAATGTTGAATGGATTTGATAATTCTACTGGATGAGTGTGTATGAGGTATAATGGGTAAAATGGGTAAGGTTTAGGTAAAGTCAAGACCTCAAACCAGACCAGAGTTATGTCAAGAATATGGCATTCGGTTCCTTTCCCGCGACTAAGAAGGGCGTGAGATGGGCAGCAGCGTCCCTCTTTAAACATTTCCGAAGCCTAACTGCGGTTGCCAATCCGCTTGCCAAACATGGCAACTACTGGAAAAACCCTCTAAGAGGGAGGCTTACTGAACATAAACCTCCCTGAAGTTAAAGCCTGATCTGATGATACAATAATTAAGTCTAAATTTCAATTTCACGTGAAGATTATCAATCGTTGTCTTTGTCCATGCAGGAACCCTATTCTACTGGGGGGAAAGGGATTGTTAGCAATGGAGTTTGACAGTCCCATTGCTAGCAATATGCCCTATCAGGTCAACCTCCGCGTGGTTCCCCATGGAAACCATCGTGAACAATTCTCGTTGAATTCGTCATGATGGGCTAATTGATCTGTTTCATCGTCATCTATCATCCTTCACTGGTGCCCTATCAGCGTATACCGATAGCGCGGGTGGGGTTACTATTTCATTATCACCTATAAAAAAAAACCCTCTTCTACTGGGGGGAAAGGGATTGTTAGTAATGGGGTCTAATAGCTCCATTACTGGCAAGATACCCTCTCAGGTTGACCTCCACGCGGTTCCCCTGGAAACCATCATGTTTAATTCTTGTCGAATTCATCATGGTGGGCCAACTGATCTGCATTCATTCTCACCTATCATCTTCCACTGGTGCCTCGTCGGCGTATACCAATAGCGCGGGCGGGGTTACCAATCCATTTTCACCCATAAAAAAAAAAACCATCTTCTACTTCACGTGCCTGGTTATTGTACTGGATTCGTTTCTTATTCTTTCGCTGTTCAGGCTATTCAATACTGAAACGCACTTTCACTTGACCTGGGATGTACCCTTATCAGACCAGTGTTTAAAAATCAATCTACTTCTTAGGGGGAAAGGGATTGTTAGCAATGGAGTTTGACAGCCCCATTGCTAGCAATATGCCTTATTAGGTTGACCTGCACGTGGTTCCCCCTGGAAACCATCGTGAACAATTCATGTTGAATTCGTCACGATGGGCTAACTGACCTGCTTCATCCTCACCTATCATCCTTCACTGGTGCCCCGCCGGTGTATATCGATAGCGCGGGTGGGGTTACCATTCCATTATCATCCATTAAAAAACTACTTACTTTGTTTGAATCAGATATTGTTATCTTTACTCTTCTAATATAGTTAATAAGGGGGAAAGGGATTGTTAGTAATGGAGACTAAAAATCCCATTGCTAGCAATATACCCAACCAGGTCGACCTCCTCGTGGTTCCCCCTGGAAACTATCATGATTAATTCCTGATGAATTCACCATGATGGGCTAACTGGCCTGTTTTCATTCTCATCTATCACCCTTCACTGGTGCTCCGCCAGCGTATCTCGTTAGCGCAGGCGGGGTTACCATACCATTTTCACCCATCAAAAAAAAAAAGTTAATAATTTGATATAGTAAACTTTTTATTTAGACAATTAATTAATAACTGGTGCATCGTCATCACAGTAATATTTTATGTATTTATTTATCATATAATATACTAGTGACCCGCCCCGGCTTCGCACGGGTGCACATTATATCACATCACGATAGAAACCTTTAAAATTATCATTGTTTCTCTACAATATTATGCATGTGTTATACATATAAACCTTCCTCTTGAATCAATCGAGTATTAAAAAAAAAAACCCGCTTCAAAATCCATTGCGTAGTTTTAAAGATTTAAGCATACATAGAGACGGACAGAGAGCGACAGCGACTTTGTTTTATACTGTGTAGTGATTTATTTATATTATACATTTCGTCTGATTATATATTTATAATGTATGAATATATTTAGTATTATTTATTATTAATTGAGTGCACTGTCTACCTATGTCTCTGTTTGCCCAATAATTGATTGGTAGAGAACGCCAGCCAGTGGTAAGAATGTCAAATGTACATACAGTTACACTGTGCATTAAAGTTTTAATAAATAAATAGATCAATATCAGTAATAAATTATACATAGTCCGCTTTCAAACATAATATTTATTGCTACGACAATCAAGATAATAACAATGCATGCATACATACATATCTCTAACGACATACGATTTTAAAGTATTTCAAGGGCGGTACAAACTTCTAAGCAGCCTCCCAAATGGCATTGTGAAACGACAAAAAGGCACAATTAAGATGAATAAATCTCGAAATTGCATCCAGCAAGGCTACCTGCCACCGTTGACCGCACCCTGCGTATGCGCATCGCAGGACGCGTGCGTAGACGCACAGCGGCGGCACCACACGTCAGTCTGTACGCGACGCTCGATCTGTTCACACGTCTCGCGCCGTCGAATACGTCGATGGTAAAAGCGTAGCTATCGTGGTTATATCGAAATTATAAACAAAGTAAAAACAGTGTTGTGTTTTTTGGATAGATTTTGTATGTGCTGTGATCTATTGGACCGGCAAGCTCTTTCTCCCTTTTAAGGTTTGTTTTAAATGTTTTTTTGGTTATAAATTATTTATTTCTAATTAGTATAATTTAGTTTTATATTATTATTTTTTAATTAAATGATTAATAGCGATATTTTTGTAACAAAGCTTATTAGAGTGTAATATTGTAGGTATTTTTTTTTAAGAAAAACAAAACGTTTTTTACCATAGTTCCGGTTCAATATAAAAATATCACACAGATTAATAAATTATCAATGCTCGATAATATATTAATCTGTGTATAAAGATTAATATTAATACATCGATGTGACGTTGAACAACAGTATCAATAATTCCGAACTTTATTATCTCGAGATAATGTTTTATCTGTGAATTTATTTTAAAATTTCTTTTTATCCGTAAAAAAAAAAAGATACTGAATTGACAATCAAATACCTAAATTTAAAATGAAATATTCCTATAAACAAAATGTATAATTGTCTAATAGGTAATTTATTGTTTTATAATCAGATATTAGTTTTTACCGCGACCCTGTCTACGTGACTGGGGTAATTTATTGATTAGTTGGGATAAAATAAAGTCTAGTAAATTCAAAGTATGATTAATAATAATGACTTTAAATATTTTAACTTGAATTTCAGATGAATTAATTCTAACCGTAATTTTAACGCGAATTTACAAGTAAATAAGAATTTATCGGGTATTATGTAATACGAGTCTTTGTTTGCAACTTCGTACGCTTAATTTTAGAAATAGTTTTCCTGCACCATATATAGATGGCGTATTGAAATAAAATATTAACCACATTTTAAGATAGGCCTCATGAATGTAACTGTGAAAACCGCATTCAATTCGGTGTAGTAGTTTTTGTATGATACCAGAATAAATAATACAGATAGACAAAAAATTGAAAAAAAAAAACATTGATTGAGAAATATCAAAAATGATGGTAAACAGAGACCATGTCCTTCACATACATACAAATTTGTATTTCTCATATTAACGTGCTAAATGTGTATTATAAACTTCTGCCCACAAAATGTGAGGTAAGCCTTATATTTCAATGTGTATTCTATCCTTCCAATTAGGTAAATGTGAAATTTTGGATGTTTGTATGTTTGTTACACAATTAAGTTTAAATGGCTGAATGTAATTGAACGAAAAATACACAAATAGGTGATATCCCATATTAACATAATAAGAGGTAGTTTATATGTTAGTTTAAGATTAAAATACAGTTAGTGTAAAGTATATTAAACATATTCTCAACAATATTAGGTATTTTAAAATTTACATTTTACTAATTGTGTGAAAAAATATGAGAGTAAAGATACGAAATCAAAACAGAATATGTAAACACGTTTAAAAAATAATTTAAATAAAAAATTGTAAATGTAAAATATATTATAAGCATATTTTTCATAATATTGGGTATATTAAAAAAATATATTTTATAAAAAGGTTAAAAAAAAGAGAACACAGATACAAAAACTAAATAGAATACTTAAGCACGCTTAAATATATATATATATATATATTATATATATATATATATATATATATATATATATATATATATATTTGGACCATGTTTTTTTGAGTTTGACTACAAATTTTGATGACTGAAAAATCTTGTAAATGGTATTTCGAATACAGTTTAAACTCGAATTATGGTATTATATAAAGAAAGTTATCCAATACAAAAAGAATGATTAAAATCAGTTCTGAATCGTCGAAGTAATTACATATATACAAAAAAAAACTCAGACAAATTTACTACCTTCTCTATTTTCGTTTGAGATCCATATCTAGACTATCTCTGTAGCAGATTACAACCTTAATCGATCTAGTAGAACCACAGTTAAAATTGGCTATATTAAAATATAAAATGTATAATATAGTAAAACATTCATACAGATTGTAATTTGAATGACATCCATAAAATATTATAATCGTTAATGATTTACTATAAAATTTTATTACGCATTTGAAACTAAATATTTGGCACGTAACATTTTTATTGCGGATTTTATCACTTGAACATTTATATATATATATTAATTACATATATATGTAATTATGTATATGAATATGTAGTAGTTACATATATTTATACATAATATATCAGAGGGAGTATTTGTACAAAAGTCGATTGCTTGGGTACCTCTGTCCCGTTCGTGTTTCAACCGTGAAGCAGTTTTGTTTGCATGGCTGTGTTTTGGTTTGAAGGGTGGGATATGGCGTGGATTTACTGGGTACAGAGGAGTAACACCTGAGTCCTCAGGAATGGCAACGCAAGGGGGCTATCATGGGCGAAACAGTATACTCGGTTATGTCCATGGCACTGCTCATGTCTATAGGCGACGTTTACCACTTTCCATCAGGTGGACCGTCAGCTTGTTTGCCATTCTAAGTAGTATAAAAAAAATTAAAATTATATACTCTATCGGTATACAAAGGCAGGACACTCGTGAGGGATGATTGGCACATCAACAGTATGGTGTCCAGTCCGCACCTTCCCTTACCCTTGGGTGTCGTAAGAGCTAACTAAGGGAGAGCTAGGGATGGGCAGCAGCGTCCCTCTTAAAACATCTCTAAAAGCTTAACTGCGGTTGCTAACCCGCCTGTTAGGGGGGAAAGGGATTGTTAGTAATGGAGACTGAGAATCCCATTGCTAGCTTGCTATATACCCAACTAGGTCGACCTTCTTGCGGTTCTCCCTGGAAACTATCATGGTTAATTCCTGATGAATTCATCATGATGGGCTAACTGGCCTGTTTTCATTTTCATCTATCACCCTTCACTGGTGCTCCGCCAGCGTATACCGTTAGCGCAGGCGGGGTTACCATACCATTTTCATCCATAAAAAAAACCCGTTTGTTAAGTGTGGCAACTAATGGCAAAACTCCCCTTATGGGGAAGGCTTATGTCCAGCAGTGGACAGTTAACGGCTGAAATATACAATATTAGTATAGACATAGATAATATATGTATAGATAAGAAAGTGCCGTGGAATCGAAGAAGGTATTTTGAGGTTGGTATTCAAAAGGAAGTATTAAGATGTGACGGTGCTAAAACGGGCGACGGGACCGACAGCCGGCCGCTATTTATAAGTTTTGACAACCACTGAACTTGTGTCCGAAACATGTACGGAACTACATCTAAAAGAGCTTAGTACTACCCGACTTTGAGAAGCTGGGATGGCTAATGTCTAATGGAAATAATTCTTTTTGATTTATAATAGACTGTTAAAAAAACCATCTTCAATTGTGACAAAGTTATTTTTATCTAAAAACTAAACTACTCAATTTATTTTGGTATTTTTTTTTTATAGAACTAATGAATTAATGAGTATATGCATGTTACATTAAGGCTGACAATTTGTTACTTTAAATTTGTAGCCTTTATTCTTTTAATGTACATAATATCGAATGTTGCGCAGAGCAGTTGTCGGAGTGCAAATTTAATGCTGTTTCATGTAATATTTATTTTATTAATGTATTAATTTGTAATCTGTTGCCTTGCTATAAATAAATTATACAATATAGGGAATAAGCAAGACAACTAATAAATGTAACGATACAGCTGTTTAAGTACAGTAAGGCGGTCTTATTGCTGAGGGCAATTTTTAACCCTTCTTTGCATGATTTTCTTTTATTGGTGAAATAAATCAAGGTGGTACAATTCATGTACAAAATTAAAGGAAAAATGGTTGAAAAAAGAAATTTGACAGCTATGTTTTGTTTCTTGCAATGGACATTAAAAATGTATCCAGACACGATCAACTTAAAGTGAACTTGTTCTTTTATATAATTTTTGGGCATTCAATGTTATGATGGTATATCCTTTCAGATAAAGAAATAATATTCCAAATCGGTTTAAAACTGACGGAGTTATGAGGTAGCAAATATTAAAAAAAAAAACAACAGAATTGAGAACATTCTTTTTTCCTAAATCGGTTAAAAATAATACAACCGTTGGCTAAAACTTATATTGAATGTATGCATAAACTATTTGCATATTTCTAGGACATTTGGTTAAGCAAACATTATGTTTCGCGTTGTATGTTTACTTAAATTCCAATGGAATACTGTATTGTAATAAAGTTAATGACATTTGGACTTATCGCTGTTACGTTTGTAATAAATGTTCTTGTTATTTTTATAAATAAAATAGGTTTTTGCCCACTACTTCGTACTCGTTGTTTAAGATTTTCTTATGCAACTTAGAACGGCAAACAAGCTGACGGTCCACCTGATGGAAAGTGGTAACCGTCGCCTATAAACATGAGCAGTGCCACGGACATAACAGAGTATACTGTTTCGCCCGTGATACCCCCCATGCGTTGCCATTCCTGAGGACTTGGGTGTTATTCCTCTGTACCCTGTAAACTCACTGCCATATCCAACGTTTTAAACCGAAACACAGTCATGCAAACACAACTACTTCACGGTTGAAACACGAATGGGACAGAGGTACTTAAGTAAACGAATTTAGTACAAAGATTTTAGAAAATCAATAAATAAACTACTTGTAAAAAACATATTAAAATAAAACATACATCAGCAGGTTTACTCTTGAATCTAATATCAATACTAATACAATGACAATTTTATACTGAAGTTACGAAACAATAGTTAGGAATTAGGTTATATTTGGGATCGGTTTACAATGGTTTGCATTGGGGAAAAAGGGATTGTTAGTAATGGAGACTGAGAATCCTATTGCTAGCAATATACCCAACCAGGTCGACCTTCTCGCGGTTGTCCCTGGAAACTATCATGGTTAATTCCTGATGAATTCATCATGATGGGCTAACTGGCCTGTTTTCATTCTCATCTGTCATCATTCACTGGTGCTCCGCCAGCGTATCCCGTTAGCGCAGGCGGGGTTACCATACCATTTTCACCTATCAAAAAAAAAAAATAGTTTGTATTGGCAAGTTGCACTAATATGCGTCTATCAGAACAATAAGGAATCATTATGTCGCTAGCGTTGCAATTCGAGAGTGTGAAACCTCTCCACGTCAATATA